GACTGAGTCTTCTCACTGTATCTGTTTGTGGGCCCCAGTGGTTAAAAAAGGTCCTTGTTCATCATGGGGGGCCAGGAATTCAGGGGGCTCAGCCACTTGCCCACATCCTGAGGATGAGAGCCATCCCCCTTGGGTCTCTCAAGAGCCTGGGCAAGGCCCATTGGGGGAGGCAGTTACTAGCTGCAGCCCCTTAGAAGGAACAAAGGTTGTCAAGTTAGTGACAAGGGAAAAGGCAGGGCCTGAAGTGAGGCCTGGGGTCCAGCCCAGCTCTGCTTCTGAAGCAGGAACTGTATTCTTGGCGCCTCTATCATTTCCATCTATAAAAAAATACAGGTGGATTAAGGCAATTTTCAAATGCTCTGGATTTGGGAGTTCTTAAGGAGACATCTTGGGAGCAAAGGAGAATGAAGAACACCATAGACAAAAGGAAAGTATTAGCCCAAGAGACAGAAAGGGCCACATAAACCACAGACTTCATCAGCCTGAGACCAGAAGAACTAGATGGTGCCCAGCTACCACCAATGACCGCCCTGACAGGGAACACAACAGACAGTCCTGGATGGAGCAGGAGAAAAGTGGGGTGCAGAACTCAACTTCTAGTAAAAAGACCAGACTTAATGGTTTGATTGAGACTGGCGGGACCCCGGAAGACATGCCCCCCAGACCCTCTGTTAGCCCCAAATGAAAACCATTCCCGAGGCCAACTCTTCAGATTAGACTGGACTATGGGACATAAAACGAGGCTCTTGAAGAGTGTGCTTCTTAGCTCAAGTTAAATACATGAGACTAAATAGGCAGCTCCTGTCCGGAGGCAAGATAAGAAGTCAGAGAGGGTCAGGAGCTGGTTGAACGGACATGGGAAATCTGGGGTGGAAAGGAGGAGTGTGCTGTCACAGTATAGGGAGAGCAGCTAGGGTCACATAACAATGTATGTATAAATTTTTGTATGAGAGACTAACTTGAATTGTAAACTTTAACTTACAGCACAACAATTAAAAAAAAAAAAAAAGAAGGGGGTGGATGGGGGAGGTCCAAAAAACTGAGAACCATGAAATATGAAGGATTAGCAAATCAAACATTAGGTGGTCCTCATTGATATGGCAGGACACACTAGTTATTTAGGGTTTGCGCCTACTCTGAATTGTTAGCACTGGTGACTTAACCAGTTGCCATTGAGTTGATTCCCACTCATGGCAACCCCACGTGTCAGAGTAGAACTGGGCTCCATAGGGTTTTCAATGGCTTATTTTTCAGAAGTAGACTGCCAGGTCTTTCTTCCAAGGCACCTCCAGGTGACTCAAACCTCCAACCTTTCGGCTAGCAGCCAGGCGCATTAACTGCTTTCACCACCCAGGGACTCCCCTGGCAACTTCCCAGCCATAGATATTTTGACTCTTTACTATAGGTGCTAATAACTAGAGAAGACAAGGAAGCAGGCCTGGAGCAAGAGTGCAGCTTAACAACAGTCCCACAGCACAGAGCTGGTGACTGGTTCAATCAACAAGGGACTCTAGATCGAGCCATAGAGGCCAGTCTTGGCCCGGAAAGGCCGATTTTCCTCCTCAACTCCCTCCAAAAAATCTCAGGGGAGGAAAGCCAGCCTGAACAGTGGCTGTTTGGTTTTATTTTAGCTTCAGCTGGAGGTAGGGTTTCACGCTTCATTCAGGCTTCTCAGAGGGAGTTTAAGATAAGGGGCAGCACGTGTTCGCTGGCTGAGACACCTAATTCTCCCACATAACCTTATCAGTAAAAGCAGCAGAGCCTTGGAAAAGGGAACCTGAGGCAGCAGGAGCCAGAAGTGGGAGAGGCAGGAGGTGGCCTTGGCCTGTGGGGCTGCAGCACTATGGACCAAGGAGGAGTGAGAAGGTTTCTGACAGTAATTGGGATAGGACTTTCCAACCAAGACAACCAAACTCACTGCCACAGAGTTGATTCCAACGCATCTCAATGAAGTAAGATAGAACAGAGCTGCCCCATAGGGTTTTCAAGGCTGTAATCTTTACAGAAGCAGATGGAGCCGCTGGTGGGTTCGAACCGCCAACCTTTTGGTTAGCAGCCGAGTGCTTAACCACTGCGATACCAGGCCTCCTGATAGGACCCTCTAGCCTACTTAACTCCCTTTTGGTTTCCCATCCAGGGGGTGAGACTTCAGGACGCCCTTAGCCTCATCCTTCAGAGCCTTGGTCTTTAACTTGAATGTGTATCAGCATCACCTGGAGGGCTTGTTAAAACAGATTGTATAGGGCCCCGCCCCCAGAGTTTCTGACTCAGTAGGTCTGGGGTGGTTCCAAGAATGAATTTCTGATTCTGCGGGTCGGGGGCTGGCTCTGAGAATTTGCATTTCTAGCAAGTTCCCAGGTGATGTTGATGCTGCTGGTCCAGGGGCAGCACTTTGAGGTCCAGTTGCCATGGAGTCGACTCCGACTTATGGCGACCCCATGTGTGTCAGTGCAGGACTGGGCTCCATAGAGTTTTCAATGGCTGATTTTTTGGAAGTAGCTCACCAGGCCTTTCTTCCGAGGCACCTCTGGGTAGACTCAAACCTCCAACATTTCAGTTAGCAGCCAAGCACATTAACCGCTTTCACCACTCAGGGGCTCAGCACTTTGAGTGCCACCACTGTACAGAATGAGTCTCTCTTAAGGGAAGGAAATATTATTTCAACTTTAGCAATTCCTTCAGCTTCACTTTAGATTCTTTTCTTTTTATTAATTGCAAAGAAAAAATTTAAACTCCATTTCAACAAAGGCACAAATAGAATCGTTCTGTTGGTGCTGCCTCTTCATTTGTATTCCTGCATAAGGGCCCTGGGATTGTCAGGAATGTTCAGTGTCACTGACATCGTTGGTGAGTTCTCTAATTTTCTGTTTTGCTTGATTTTGATGATGATCAGGTGTGATTTTAAAAATACAATGAGGCCATTCTTTGAAGGAGGAAAATCCCCTCAGAGGGCGATCGTGAGGATTTGTTTAAAGGAAATTATCTAAGTTAAGTGCTGTCTGTTCACTACAGGGGAAGTCAGCACAACTGGACTAAACCAAAGCTAAGAAGTTTCCTGAATACAATCAAACACTTTGAGGGACAGAGTAG